CTATAAAAAAAAAAAAAATGGAAAAAAAAAATATATCTAAATCTTATTGTTTTTATACATTTGTAAAAAAATAATCAAACCCCTAAAGTAATAAATAAATTTAATATTTAAAAAAAAAAAACATTTTATTTAATTGAATATATACATGTGTTTTTATTTTTTATACATTAAAAATGTTAGGATTGTTGTAATGTTTGTATATTTGTTTTGATTTGTTTTGAGAATTGATTCGATATAAATAATAGTTGGCCATTTGGTAAATAGCTATTTAATAATAATAAAATTTCGTCTGATTTTGGTAAAATTTCTTGTGGTAATGTTTTGGAGATAGTAGTTTTAAAATTATCTAAAATAACATTACTAAACATTGTTAAAAAATTTGAAACTAATAGTCTATTTTCATCTTCTTCACAAATGATTGTAAAACAAACTCTAAAAAAATGAATGACATTAATAAATAATTAAATATTGTTTATCTATTTTCGAGACTATTATCTTTTATTGTTAGTATCTATATTTACCCTAAAAGTTTTTTCCAAATTACAAATTTTGGAGTTGAAACATACAAAGAAGGATCAGATAATGAGGTTGAAGTATCATCATTTGAAGATTGATTAAATTGATTTGAAAAATTAAATTGTTGTAAAAATTGTTGTTGTTGTGATTGTTGTTGTGATTGTTGCTGTTTTTGATGCTTTAATTTATTAATTGGAATAATTCTAAATATACCTTCTTTTGAACTGTTTTCACCTCTGATATCAATAAAATTTGCATTGTTTCTTTGTGAGTATGAAAATGCCCAATCTGGGTATAGCTTTTCATCAGGTTTGGTGTGTTCACATTGAAATTTAAATGAATAATCTTTTAAAACCTTTTCAATAATCGCATTTTGTCTTTTTATAAAATCTTTATCATTTCCTTCTGATGTATAAAATTGTGATAAATAAACAAATGGAGGTTGTTGTTGTTGCTGTTGTTGCTGTTGTTGACCAAAATTATAATCTATAGAGTGAATTATGAAACCATATACCATATTATTTATTTTTTGATATTTAATAAAAAAAAACTAAACAAAAAAAAAAAGAAAAAAATAAAAAAAAGAAATTTTTAAATTTTAAAAAAAAAAAAAAAAAAAAAAAGATTTTTTTTTTATTTATATATAATTTTTATTTAAAACTATAAAATATTCATTATTATAATTATTTAATTTGTAATTATTATTTTAATTATTTTAATTTTTTATTTATTTATTTACTTATATAAAAAAAAGGTGGCAGTAGTTGTGGTAGTCGTGTGAAAATAATAAATTATTTTATTTTTTTAAAATTTTTTTTTTTAAATTTTTTTATATTTTTATTTTATTTTTTATTTTTTTCTTTTTTTCTTTTTTTAAATAAATTAAAATTGAAATACCCTAATTATAAATAATAATAAGAAATGTCAGATAAATTAAAAGCAACTAAAAAAGCAGAAGCTGATGCTTATAAAAAAGAAGGTGATAAATTGTAAGTTTTTGTATAGCCAAAAAAAAATAAACAAAAAAATAAAAAAAAATAAAAAAACATAAAAATATAAAAAAAATCATATACGATAACTTTTATTAATTTTTATAAATTTAATAATATATTTAATAATTAGATCAAAAACAACACTTTTAAGATGGAAAGCAGATTGGGATGGTGCAGCAATTGTTTATGAAAAAGCTGGTATGATTCATTCATAAAATAATTTCCTTTTATAAATAATAATATTTCATTTTTTTATTAATTTTTATTTATATTTTTATTTATATTTTTATTTATTTTAGCTAATGGATATAGAGCAGCAAAGGTTTATGACGATGCAAAATATTGTTTTTTAAGATTATCATTATGTCAAACTAATACAGATGTTTATTTCCTTGCTGCTAAAAGTATGGAAAATGCCGCAGCTATGGCAAAAGAAATGGGTGATACTAAAGAATGTGTTAACCTTTTATTAGAATCATGTAAACTTTATAGAACAAATGGCAACAGTTTTCAAGCTGCTGATAATATGACAAAGGCAGCAAAGTAAGTATTTACTATAGTTATTATAACATCCTTATAAAATACTTATTTTTTCATTTTATTCATTTAAAATCATTATTTCAGACTTTTAGAAGATATTGATATAAATAAAACATTCGAATTATTAAAGGATGCATGCGAATTGTTTGAATTGGACGATAAAGATCATTTCTCAGGCGATACATTTAAACAAACAATTTCATTATTATTAAAACACAAGAAATATGAAGAAGCAATCGACTTGATGATTTTACAAAATAGAGTTTTTATAAAATTAAATCAAAATCACGATCTCCATAAAAGCTGTCTTAGTGTCATCGCTATTTCATTAGCAACTGATGATATTGTTGGTGCCAAAAAGAAATATGACCAATTTTTAGATTATCCAAGTTTTCTTCACAGCCAAGAAGGTACAACAGCTGCTGAATTAATCAATGCCTTTGACAATCATGATGCTGAAGGTGTTAAAAACATCGTTTCAAGACATCTTTTTAATTTCTTAGATAATCAAGTAAGTAATAATAATAATTGTTAAATTAATAAACAAAATAAAAACATACAATATTAATATAAACATTCTTTCTAATTAATAGGTCGCCAAAATTGCTAAAGGTTTATCAATTAATAGCAATTCACTCCAACCAACTATTAAATCAGCTTCATCAAATCCATTTTCAAATACTACTACCACTCCTTCATATAATAAAAATAATAATACTACCTCAACTCCAGTTCCAACTTCAACTTCAACTCCAACTCCAACTCCAGACAATAATAGTGACAGCGATGAGAGTGACGAAGATGTTTTATAAATTATAAATATTTAAAATTCTAATAAATATAAATTATTTTTTTTGAACATTTAATTATTCCCTTTTTTCATTATCTTTTTTAGCTTTATCTTTTTTCATTGTTTTACACCTAATAGTTCTTTTAATTTATAATTTTTATTTTTATTTTTAATATTTATTTTTTATTATTTTATTATCTTTTTAATGGAGCGATTTTTGGTGGTGGTGGACCTCTTGCACCTACTGGTGGTGGTGGAGCTGTTCTGCTTGCAACTGGTGGTGGTGGAGCTGTTCTGCTTGCAACTGGTGGTGGTGGACCACTTGGTTTAACACCAAATGGAGCTGGTTTAACTGGTGGTGGGGCTGGTGATTTAAAGCCACCTGAGACTGGTGGTGGACCACCTGGTCTTGCACCTACTGGTGGTGGAACATTTGCTGGTTTTGAAATTAATGGTGGTGGAGCGGCCTTCTTTGGTGCAGACATAACTGGTGGTGGAACATTTCCTGGTTTGGACATCATTGGTGGTGGGGCTGGTCCCTTTTTAGCACCTGGTGGTGGTGGTGTAAACATTCCTGGTCTTGGCATTCCACCCATTGGCATACCCATTGGACCGCCACCGCCGCCGCCGCTGCTTCCTTTTTCAGCTTGTAAAACTGGTTTGGATCTATCATTAGTTTGTGCTTTCTTTAATTTTTTACCTTTTTCAATTGATTTTAATAATGCACCTCTTTCAGCTGTTTTTGGTGGTGCGGCAACTGGAGCTGGTGGTGGTGGTGGTGGTGGAGGCATTATTTAATTAATAAATACAATAGTTTTTTAAAAACTAAATTATCGATATCTTTGGTTTTTTTTTTTTAAAATACAAAAATTATATACAAATAAAAATATTTAAAATTTTATTAAGATTTTAAATAAATTTAAAAAATTGGGATTAATATACACAAATAATAAAAATAAATAAATATATAAATAAATAAAAATAATTTATATATAAATAATATTTAGATAATATTTAAATACAAAACTTGATAAAATAAATTGAAGAGTAAAAAAGAAAAAAAAAATAATATCAACTTTTTTTTTTTTTTTTTTGATCAAATACAAAATTATAATAAAAAAAATATCTATGGTTGAAATGGTTATAATAAAATTTTTTTTTAATTAAAGTTGGTTGTAGATTTTTATTTTTTTATTTTTTATTTATTTTTTTTTATTTATTTTTTAATTTTTTTTTTTTTTTACAATAGGACAAAATCAAATATCAAATTTGGTGTTGATAAAAATACACAAGTTTGATAAATTTTGTTTAAAATAATGGCAAAAAAAAAAAAAAGCAGTGCACAAAAACAACACACAATTTATTTTTTTGTTTTTGTGGTAATAATTTATTAATATAAAAAAATATTTTGGATTTATTACCACTTTCCACAAAAAATAAATTTAACAACAATTTCTTTTTTTTTTAAAAGAGCATAAAGATTAAATGTTTCTATTTTTAAAATTTTATATTTTTTTTATATTTTTTTATTTTTTTCCATATTTAAAAAATTATATTATATATTAATATTATTTATTAAACTGATATGATTATATTATATTATTGTTTTTATATAAAACTATTAATTATCGGAAATTATACAAAGTGTGCACCCAAAACAAAATTCTTCTCCTACTTGATGTTTAACTTCAACATCACATTTGCATTGGGGCAACAAATGTTTTGGTGTTTTTGTTACTTCATTAACTTTCTTGTGGCAATCTGCACAAAAATGAGTTTTACCCCAACAAAAGAAAATTGAGATGTTACAACAATATTTACATTTATATTCACTAAAAAAAAAAAAAATTAATAAATTAATAATCTTTTAAAAAAGTAATGTATAATAAAATAACTTACATGAACTCCTTTCCATGAATTTTACAAATTTCATTTCCATTCGCACTACAACCTCCACATATTAGTTCCTCTGGTTTGAAGTCCTGTCTGTTATCTCCACATGCTTTTTCACCACCAAAATATGGTTTCTAAAAATTAGAAAAAAAAAATTAGTAAATAAAATAATTATTTAATCAGTTAAAAGTATAGAGTGACCCTTACCTTGCATTTAAAACACATAAAATAAGAAAATCTTTCCATGACATATCCTTCTTTATTATTATACCATTTTGATGTTGTATCGTTGAAATTTACATCTTGTTCAGGACCATTGATTTCTAATCTAGTGAGTGCTTTTGTTTTGATTGTATTGTAAAGTTCGTTAATTGGATCCAAATACTTCTTTAAAGATGGATGGTCCATAGTTTGTGAACAAAGTGCGCATTTTGTAAAACCAAAACTAATTCTGGGACTTGACCACCTTTTTTTTAAAACATTTTTACAGCATTTATAATGAAAAATGTGACCACAGTCTAATTGTATACATGGGTCACTTGATAAATCATCCGTCCAGCAAATGTTACAATAGTCATTTGATTTTTGATCCGTTTTTAAAATTGTAACGTCACTATTTATATTATTATTTACATTATTATTATTATTTATTTTATTATAATTACAATCCGATTCAATACATGGTAAACAATTTTCTTCATTTTTTAAACCTAAACATTGATGACCACATTTTAAAACTTTGTCACAGGATTTTAATGATTTTAATCTACATTCATTGTTTGAGCAGATATCTAAAACATTTGTTTCTAAATTTGGTGTTGTAGTTGTGGTTGTATTTCCATTGTTGTTTAGTAATATCTTTGAGTTTGGTAAAATTGGGAATATTGCTATTTTACAGAATCTGCAGTGCTTGGAAGAGTTGTATATTTGATATTGTGCACAGGTATAACCCAAATGATAAGGGGTAACAAAACATTCACTACAAAAAACTGTTGAACATTGAGGGCATCTGAGTCTATACTTTCTTTTATGTTCCATACTTTCTTTACTGAGAGGTCTACCATTATCATCATATTCAACTTTTTGGTGGTGGTGGTGATGGTTATTGCTTGAAAAGTTTGGTAAACTACTGCAGGTACTATCTTTTGATTTATTTTTATTGCTGCTATTACCACCATTATAGCTGGAAGAGAAACTGGTTGTTTTTGGTGAGGGTGCTGGTATAATTACTTTTTCAATAAATAAATTACAACATGGGCATTGAATATAGTTTCCTTTATTTTTTGATAAGACTTGATCCAATGATGCTTTATCATAAATTGAGCATTCTTCTTCATTTAAAACTTGTTTAATGTCATGAACTGATAAGGGTATTTTGCAAGATTTACATTTAATTTTTGATACTTTTTTTTCTTTTATCCTATTCATTATAAAACCATATAAACATTTTCTGCAATAAAAATGAGAACACTTTTTTTTTAAAAAATAAAAAATAGTTAATATAATAACAATATTGGATATAGTTTTATAAAATAATAATATATTTACATCTAAAAATATAATGTCATCGACTAAAGATGGGGTATTTGAGCATTCCACACATTTTATAACCAATTCATTATTTGACTCGTCTATTAAAATATTATTGTTGATATTTTCATCATCATCTAATTTTAAACTTTGTTTAAATGGTGGCGAGGAGGTAAATGAAGAGGAGAGCGGGCTTGAATAGACAGGTGATTTATTATTATTATTGTTGTTTGATTTATTTGTAGGTATTGGTATTGATGAAGATACTTGTCTTTCCAACTCTAAATTATCTCTGAGTAATAAATTAAATGGTGATTCTGAAATTTTTGAAAACATTTCACCTTTTGTTAATGAACCATTATTGTTGTTATTATTATAGTCTTTTTTAATACTATTTAAAAACTCTAATGGATTATTATTATTATCTATATTATTATTTAAAAATGTGGTTATATCGTAGTTTATATAGTTACTATCGCTATCATCCTCTTCGCTACTACTACTATCATTATCGCTATTATTATTGTTATTGTTATTGTTATTTGATTTAAAAAATTTATTAAAAAGCCAGTTATTTGTTAATGAAAAGGAGGAGTCTTCGTTTTTATCGCTATTTGAATGGTCATCCTCTGTATCGCTATTGCTTGAGGAGTAGCTGCTTCTGCTGTAGTTACTATCGCTATTTGATGTGCTTGTATCCGCATCTTCGTTGTCGTCATTTAAACCAAGGTTATTTTGAAAATGACTATATAAAAAGTTATCTTGAAAGTCATTATTATTATATATTTGATTTCTTTTTATAAAATTATTATTGATCCCATTATTTTTATTTATATCCCTATTGTTATTGATATTATTATTGCTTTTTTCGGCCATTATTTGATCAAAAAAATCTTTATTATTGTTATAATCAAACAAGAATGATTTAAATTCCATTTTATATGTTGATTTCCTTTATAAAAAAAGAATATATTTAGAAATTTCTAAATATATTCTTTAGTTTTTTTTTTGTTTACAATTTAATTATATATATATTTATTCCTTTTACTAATTTTATAAATTTATTATGTATTTTGGTGTGTATTAAAAAAAAAAATGAATAAAAAAAATATATAAAAAAAAATTTTAATAATAAAAAATATATAAAAAAAAAAATAAAATAAAAAAAATTAAAAATATTTATTAATAAAAAAAAAAATTAAAAAAAATTAAAAAAATAATAAGATTTTTGCACAGTTTTTTTCTTAATTTAAAAAGAAGTTTTTTTTTTTTTCCTCCTAAAAATTAATTAATTTTTTTTAATTTATTTTATATTATAAAGTTTTTTATTTTAAAAATTTTCTTGAATTATTATAATCAATCCAATTTTTGTAAAGTTTTCTTAGTTTTTTCTTTGAAAGGAAAATATTGGTTCCTGGAGCATTTGGTTTTGAACCATTATTATCTAAATAAATGTGAGATACAAGATTGGTTTTTTTGAAAGCACCATATTCCATGATATTAACTTGTAAAAGTGGATTTTCGATATGTTGGAATAAACCTAATGGATAACATGGACAGGCGATGACATGTCTGAGAACACCGTTGGTGCATTGGGTAGCTGAACAAACGGCAACACCACAAAATAGACAAACAAGCTTTAAGAGTGATTTACATTTAGTGCAATTACCTGAATGAATATTTTCTTTCATGAAATCAATATATTTGTCTGGTACTGGAGTAAAGCTTGGTAATACTTCGTAGTTGCATGGTGGTGGATAAATACAATAAACTTGTGGGATATTACTAATTTCATTTGAAATCTTTGGGGTATTTAAATAATTTTTGAGTAAATCTTCGAAAACTCTTGGTTCGAAGCCTTTACGTAGCAATTCCTCAAATGAACCAAACAAAAAGAATTTGGTGCAAAAATCAAATGAATCTAAATTACTAATAGTGATTTGCTTGAATGGGAATTTGGATTGGTCGTTGTAATAGTTGAAAATATAAAAGTAAATAATAACTTTTCTGAGGTATGGATGAATTTGATTTTGAAGTTTCTTTTTTAAATTTTCTTCTAATTCTTTACCACTAAAAATGTTTTTATATTCAGATTCAATAATCGAAAATAGTTGACTTTTATTGTTGAGGTGTTCTTTTGGAATCTTATTAGTTTCGATGACATGATGGATTAAAACGCTAAACAAATAAAAGAATACACCAGTATAGATAATTTCATCATGGTTTTTTTTAGTGAGGAATGCGGTATAAGAACTACTGACAAATGGGTCAATAAAGAATACAGCTTTGTCAAACATTGGAGCATTGGGTTCTGGTGCGAGGGGAGCATTATCAATGACTCTATAGAGATTGGAGGTGGTCAAAAGCTCTTTTTGGAAATCAGTTTCGGACATTATAAAGTATGGTTCACCATCTTCACTATAAAGTGTGGTCTTTCTTGATTTTAATTCTAAAGTTTCTATATTTTGAAGAACAAATTTCCAAAGGTATTTATTAATGCTATATTTGTTTTGTGAATCCATTAATGTTGCATAATCATAATGGCAAAGCTCTGAATATAAATTATTGGCGCCTTCTTTGTATTCTTGAGATGACTCGGGCTTACCAAGTGGCACAATAATATCACAGGCTCTTGAACAAAGTGGACATTTGAATGAAGTAACAATATCGTCAATCTTTTGGTCACGAATATAATCATCGATACATTTTTTATGAACAGTATGATGACATGAGCTGACGTAGGTTGATGGGGATCTATTGAAAATATAACATGCTAATAAGGTTGCTGGATCTTCATCGTAGGGTACATATTGCGAAATACCAATTTTAACATTTTCTGTTACAAAAATATGTAAGAAATCTTTATAAGTTTGATCTACGCCTTCTTTACATTCCATTTCGAAATTGGTTTGGAGCTTATTTTGCATATTTGGTGATGAAACATCAACGTATGCCATAGAGAATAATCTACCACCTCTTTCTCCAGTTTTACAAATAACACATGGTTCGAATTCACCAATTTCCTCTGCTGAAAATTCTATTTTACGTTTTGGTTTAAGAGTTTTCTTGACCTTTGATTCATTGTCGTCAGCATTTAAATTTTGATTTGCTTCATCAGACAAATTTTCATCATCAGAAATATAATCTTCATAAATTTGATTTGATTCATATTCAAAGGATTTCTTTAATTCATCTGGGACATAATCTTTCTCTTCTTTATCTTCTTTCTCTTCTTCTTTTTCTTCTTCTTTCTCTTTTCCTTTATCTTCTTTATCTTCTTTTTGTTCTTCTTCTGATTTTACAACTTCTTGGTTTGGTTTTTCTTCCTCAACTGTTTCATTATTTCTAAGTGTTAATTTTTCTTCTTCATCCTCTGTGTCCTCTTCATTTTCTTCATACTCTTCTTCTTCATCCTCTTCTTCTTCACCATCTTCATCATCATAATTATAATTTGATAAAAATGATTTTTGTTGTACCCTCATTTGCTCTAATATTTTTTCTCTCTTTTCGGCCATTAATTTCTTTCTAATAATTTCATCTTGACTTGAGGTTTCAAGATCTTGAACCAAATCGATTTTATTTTCAATAAAGTATTCTGAAATATCTGGATGGAAATCTTTGACAAAGGTGAAAATGTATAAAAGTGAACTACGTAATTCTAAAAATTTAGAATCTTTGGTCATGGATACCCAAAATTCGAATAATACTTGTAAGAATGATAATTTTTCCTTTTGACCGATACTAACTTCGACATTGTGAACACGTAAAAGATTTAGAATTGCAAAGTTTTGTTGGAATTTAACAGTTGACTTATCTTCGGCTTCAAAATATTCTTTGATAGATTGATTAATTTGATCCTTTGTTAATTGATCGAAATTTGGGTAAGTGTGCTCTTTGAATGTTTTAATACCCAAAACTAAAAGATAAAAGAATTCGTTTGCAATAATATCTGGCTTTCGAATTAAAATTTTGAGAATTGGTTGCATTTCAAAACTATCATCATATCCAACAAACTCTGGGTATATAAGATCGAGTAAAACACAAAATATCATTTCGAAAAGAGTTGGATCTTCGAAAATATTGTTAACACCCAAAAGTTCTTTAGAGATGGCTGGAATTTGTGGTGGTAAAGGATTTGATTCTGGAATATTAAGGGATGCTTGATATTTCTTGAAACGTTCTTTAGTATTATTTTTAATTACATTCTTGTAGACGATTGAGAAACATGGATAATATGGGTCATAGTATTTCCATGATTCTTTATCTTTGAGCTCTTTAGCATGATTGCCTGGTAATGAAATCTCTGGTAAATAGAGTTCGCAAATATCAGTTTCTGTTACACCAAATAAAACAGTGTCGAATGATCGGAAGTGAAGTTTGAAGAAGATACCAGAGAAAAGGGCTTGGTATAAATTATATTGAATATAATCTTTAGTTGGCTCTAGGGTACCTCTTAATTGAATAACGGAAATTAAAAGAGCAAAAGTATCGGTAAATGCTGATGCGCTTGCATTTGTATCGACTGACGACATGACATTAAAGAAAGCGTATAAAAATTTCTTTGGGCCTAATAAACAGAGTGCAACCTGCATAAGATGTAAATCTGTGATAATTGTAAAATCTGTACAGTTTTCTAATGAATCGGTTGGGTCGTATGATACATAGCAAACTCTGAATAAAAGTAATGTTGTAAGCATGTCTACAATATCATCTTCTGTGACACCGTACTTAGTCATTAAAATTGATGGATCCATTTTAGTGTGGAGGAAAAAGAAGGAAATAACACGATAGAGAGCAAAATGAATTGGGATTTCGTTATAGGTGAATTTTTGGAAAAAGTCTGCATGTGGTAATTTGAAGCCACATCTTTCAAACAATGGTCTCTTTTTAATGTGAGATATTGATTCGGCAATTCTTTTGAGGGTTGTATCACGAGCAAAATCGCTGAGGGCTGGGTCATTTTGTGCATCAATGGCACTGTGAAGATGTCTGGTTGCATACATTAATTTATGTTCTAAAAGTACCAAAAATTTAGTTGTTGTGATAGAAGGGTCTACAAATTGAGGTGAGGTGAATGCATGAAGAGTTTCTGAGAGTTCGAAATATAAACGATACTTTTCTTCATCATTTATTAAAAATTTAACAACATTTATATCTTTCATTAATCTTGAGAATGATGAGAGGTCAGATTGCAACATTACTTCTTTTTCAATCTTTTTATCAGTTTGGTAGAATGGTAACAATAATGGCATATAGATGTTTTTATGGGAACGTAATACTAATTCTATGAAATTGTAACGAGAGTAACCAGTTGAGAATGGAACCAAAAGCTTCATATTGTCCATATAATAGCTACCAAGATTTTGCATTAAACGGGATGATCTTGAGTCACGTGGTGAGAAAATGAGAATATAGTTTTTAAGGTATTCTTCAAAAAGTGCCAACTTGAAGGTATTATGGTTATCTAATAATAAAGTTAATAATGGAACAAATAATTCTAAAATGTTGATTCTGCTAAAGATGAAACCCAAAAAATGATGAGATTCCCATTGTTGCTGGGTGTTATCTGATGGATTTTCGTATGGTAAACGCTTGAGATCATAAATCTTGAAATCTTTGCTATCTAAACAACGAGATGTAAGTTCCTCTGCCATAATGTGAATTAAAGTTGATGAATAACTGCAAAGTCCTGATAACCATCCAGTAATAACATTGATTTCTTCTTCACGTGTTTTTGAGAGCTCGGTAGTAGATGTTGTAATCTTTTGAAGATATCTAAAAAGATATCTAAAGAAAATGTGAATATCTTTTCTAACAAAGAATGGAGTACCATCTAAACGTTTCTTTTGTGAATCTTCATCTACACTATGATGTTCGTGGCAGAATCCGTCTCCTTTTATGGCCTCTGGGTTACCACAATCACATACTGCTGAAGAACTACTTTCAAAAATTGTAAATTGATGTCCATTTTCGATGTGGTTACCACTTAAAAAACATTGGGCACAAATACAAGAGTTATCAGCCAAACAACATTGTTTACATGTAAAAAACCAATCTGTATGTTTTGGACCTATAAAAAAAAAAAGTAAAAAAATTAATTTATTTTATTTTTAATTTTTAAAAAAAAATAATGAAATTACTCACTGTATTGGCATTTTAATGTGTCATCTGAGGGATATTTATCAAAGAATGTTTCTATTGACATAAAACAACATCTTTCAAATACATCGTCTATTAACTCCTCTGTGATACCATTACTTAATTCTTCTGAAATCTCTTCGAATGTTGGGATCTTTTGAATTTTGAATTTGTCTAATTTATCAGCATTAATTGCATTGGTTTGGAAAAATGAATATGTATTACCCATATTTTTTAATTATTATTTAATAAATAAATAAATAAAATTATTTATCTATTTTATCTGTTGATTGAGTGTTATTATTATTATTATTATTATTAAGTAAAACAAGACTAATTTATAAAAAAAAAAAAAAATTAAAATTTAAAAATAAAATTTTAAAAAATTAAAAACCAAATTATTTTATTTGGAAAATAATTTATTTTTAATTTAAAACCCTTTATTTGTACAAATAAAATATATAAATAAAGTTACTAAGGGTTTATTTAATGTTGTAAACAATTTATAATAATATCTTGTTAAAAAAATTAAAAAAAAAAAAAAAAAAAAAAAATTTAAAAAAAAAAAAAAATTTTTAAAAATTTTTTTTTTTAAAATTAAATGTTTTCCATTTTTTTTCTTATAAATTAAATTATTCAAAAAAAGGTTTTCATATGAAATTGATCAATATACAACAATTATTGATATTTTTGGCACACCTAATAAATTTGTCAACAAATATTTAAAATCATGATAAAATTTTATCACAACGAGAAACATTATTTTTTTATTTTTTTATTTGTACAAATGTAGAATTGTTTATTTATAAAAACTTATATGATATTTTTTTTTTACAAAAGGGGTTGATTGTTTTTTTTTTGTTGTTTATTTAACCAAAGAAAAGACTGGCAGCTGCATCGACATTACCTCTAGTTTGGGTTAAAAGTCTAATAGCTCTTTCTCTTGAGCAACCCAAGCTCATTAAAACATTGATTGATTCTTCAGGCATAGCACTAAAAGTATTGGTAACTGGTCTAGTGGAGGTTGGGGTTGTATTGGTTGGTGATGTAACAGATGGTGATGATATTGAAGCAGTGGATGTGGCCGATGTGGTTGGTGAGACGGTAGAGGTGGTTGTAGTTGAGCTAGGAGTTGGTGAAGTGGTTTTTAAACTTTCTTGTGTTACTTTTTTTAAGTCCTCTTCCTCTTGACCCTCGGAACCCAAAATATCCTTTAAATCTTTTTCATGGAGGTACTCTAGTTTTTCTTCTCCAATTTGGAAAGTGCCTTTACCTAAATCCAAGATGACTTGATGTCTTTTGAGCATATCCAAACCAAGAATGAAATCAACATCTTGATTCTCTAAAATTGATAATGATACAGAGAACAAACTATTACCAAGTTTTAAATTTGTATTATGAACTCTACCTATAATTTTAGATGTACCAACACCTTTTGCAATACCATGAAATCTTTTATCAACAATTCTAGATAATCCACATCTATCAGCGCACTATAAAAGAAATTAAAGACTAATATTAATATTAAGCTTATATTTACTATAATTTTTCTTTTATCTATACAAACTTTTTCGGACATAATCGATTGTTGTGCTCCAGTATCAACAAAAGCTTTAATTGGAAAGTTATTAATCGAGCATTTAATGTACAACATATAGACAGAGGCAAATACTTCAGGGGTATGTTCCATAGCATGGGCCATATTTTCTTCAATATTTTGTTTTTGAATTTGTTCATAAAGTAATTTTTGATACTCTTCGCCAAATGGATCTTTGATTGCTAACTCTTGCATTCTACGTTGGCTTTTGAATTGCTCACAAACATTTGTTAATGCCTTTTTATCTTTTGAAAGAATTGCCTCAGCAAGTTGTGGGTTGGTCTTAATAATAAATGGATAAAATAAAAGTTAATATTTTTTATAAAAAAAAAAACATATTTACACATACCTCAATAATTTGACCCAATCCTTCTGGGTTTTTTGTAAAATAATCAATCATTGAATCTGCAGAAGCAAATATTTCATTTGGAGGCTGTGCGAACCCACCATGTTGTTGAGGTTGTTGTTGTTGTTGTTGTTGTTGTTGTTGGTGTTGTTGTTGTTGTTGTTGAGGTTGTGTAAAAATATTCTTTGTCAATAAAATCATATCACCATTTTTGATTGAATACTCCGATAGTTTCTTTGCATTATCTAAAACTTTACCGTCATATGTTAAAACTTGTTGATTGATTTTAACTGAAATCTAAAATTGATTAATGTTAGTATATAAAGAAACAAATTATCAAATGATGTAAAATTATTAAACTTACTTCAAATTCGATAACACGTTTTAATTGTTCGACTGATTGTTCTAAATCAGCTGGTACCAAAATATAGGTTTCATTCTCTACTGAAATTGTTAACTCTGCCATTTTTTTATTTGTTTGTGAATATAATAATTTTTAATTTTTTAAAAAAAAAATAAAACATTTTGTGTTTTATTAATTTTTAATTTTTAAAAAAAAAAATTTTAAATAAAAATTAAAAAAAATAACTTTTTTTTTTTAATATTTTAAAAGAAAAAAATATATAAATTATTTTCAAGGTAACTATTTTGACTCATTTGGAAAAATATTTTATAATAAATTTATTATAAAAGTTAATCACTCATAAAACTTAATTGGTGAGGCGATTTTAAAATATTATCATTAAATATTATGTTGATAAATTAAAAAAGATAAACTCTCCCCATAAGAAAAACTGTTCAATGATTTAAGCTTATTGAAATACTATATGAATTATCCAAATCTGTGTATGCATAATTGATATTTTTATTTCTATTTTAAAACTTGTACTATTTAGTAATTTTAATTTTTAATATGCAAAAAAATATAAATCCCAAAAAAGATGAATCATAATTCCCAACTACATTACAAATGCATTAATTATTTTATAATTTTTATAAAATAAAATTAAATAAAGTTAACTGTTTAAAAATTAATGAAAAAAAAACACACACATTTTTTTTTTTTTTTTTTTTTTAAAATTTAACTGTAAAAAGCTGATTATTTGTAAAAATAAAATTATTAGAATAAGAATTGTTTATAAAGATTCCATTTATTAGTTTATTTACTTTTACTTTTATTTTTATTTTTATTTTTATTTTTATTTTTGGGAATAAGGCATATTAATATATTATTTGTTTGATTATTTGAAATATTAATAAAAGATAGAACAAAATATTTTACATAATGTAAATTCAGCACAATCAAAATAGAGCTAAGATGACTTGAATCGATATTAATTTATTTATTATATCGTGTTACTTTAGTTTATATTTTTTTTTTTCTTTTGAACATTTACTATAATTGATATTTTTAAAACAGTATTTTGACCATAAAATTAATTTTTGTGTATATTTTAAAATTTTTCCAAATTAATTAAATAGTTTATTTTAAAAAAAAAAAAAAAAAAGGGGGGGGGGGGGTTTTTTTTTTTTTTTTTTTTTTTTTTTTTTTTTTTTCGTAAAAAAAAATTTAACCATTTTTTTTTTTTTTTTTTTTTTTAAAATTTTTTTTTTTTTTTTTTTTTTTTTTTTTTTTTTTTATCCATTTTATTTATTTTAACCAGGACTCTTCATTTCCTGATTGAAATCCTTTTTCAAAAAAAAAAAAAAAAAAAAAAAAAAAATAAAAAAAAAAAAAAAAAAATCTCAAAAAATTTTGGAAAAAATTTAAAATAAGATATAATACCTTAATTAAATAGTGATCAAACTCAGGATTTTTTTTTTTTGTTTTTTTTTTTTCATCCACCCAGAAATTTCATCTTTTCCCAAAGTATCCAGAACAAAATTTTAAAAAAATAAAAAATAAAAAAATCTTCGCAAATTTAAATAAATTATAGTTTTGACAATAATAAATAATAGCAGTTAATAACGACAAAACAATAATCATTAATATTTATCAATTATATAATATAGTATATAATTAGTTTTTTATAACAAATAGTAAATACAAAATTGCTAAATAAAAAAAAAAGAAAAAAAAAAAAAGAAAAAAAAAAAAAAAAGAAAAAAAAAAAAAAACACTCAAATTAAATTATGATTGATACTGAAAGATATCATAGTAGTAATAATAGTTCAAGTACTGGTCATGCTGATAGCCATATTCCATCCAGTCCTACAGATTCTCATTCACATAGTCCAAATCAAACATTAATTCATAGTCCATCCTCAAATAATCCTCTTCACCATCAAAACTATCAACAAAAACAACAACAAAATCGTACAATGATTAAAAGCGAATCCAATCAAAGTATTTCACCACCCCCATCTCCATTAATGACATCGTCTGCTCCATCGACACCATTATCGGATTCTGGAATTGTTTCAAATAACTATAATAATGGCCAAAATGTAAATAATAGTAGTAGCGGCCAAGGGAATCAACAACCTCCACCAAGTAACGGGAGCAATAAACCAGGTTATCAAACTTGTTCACATGCAAACCACGAGTTGTGGTGGAATACTAGCCCAGAATTACCTGTTTCAGAGTTTTATACAAGATCTTATAAATGTAAAAGATGCTATATAAAACAGCAAACCGAAAGTAAAAAAACTAGACAATCCCCCATCGGAAATGGAAATGGTAATAATCACTATCATACTGGTGCAAATGTAGTTGGCTCTCATCATGTTGGTAATAATCATTCTCCCTCATCTCAAAACAGTAGTAGTGGTAGTAATAGTTATCCACACAATCATCACCTTTCATCTTCATCATCATCATCTAACAGCAATAACAACAATAGCAACAATAATAGCAATAGCAATAACAGTAACAATAACAATCATTTATATCAAAACTCACCATCTCAAATTGATAACGCAATTAATCAAACCTTTTCTCAAAACTCATCAATATTAGGTTTGGCATCACTTTCAACATATTCATCATATAATAATAATAAAAATTTACAATCGCAACAACCAAATCATTCACAATTTAACGATAAAAAAAATTTAAATAGCAAATTTTTACAAAAGAAAAGCAAACAAGAAGATGCTCACGATTTTGGTAGTGGTAGTGATCAAGATGAAAACTATCCAATTAATCCAAATAACTACATAGATCAAGTTATCAGTAGCAAACAATTTTCAATGTACAGTAAACAAGGTGGAAACAATAGTACTACAAGCACAAATACTAATCAATCAACAAATAGCAATAGTAGTAATAAACCACCATCACCATCAAGTGTATTAAATAAGCAACAACAACAATCGCAAAATTTGGATATGGATTCACCAGACGAAAAGAAAATTGAAACATTTCATTATATGTGCTCAACCTACAATCATTTAGTTGATAGAGATACAGGAAGTCCAGGCTATATTGACAGTTGGATGAAAGGACGATTAGAGCAAACAGAATATTTTGGAACCATTCGAATTCAAGGAAATTTAGGTTGTAATGGTGGTGGAAATGGTGCAAATTCAAAGATTGGAGGTTTTTTCACTGAAATTATTGTAAGCGGTAAAACTTATAGAGGTTTAGTTTTTGAAGATTTGAAGAGCTCAAATCAGTCAAATAACTATCCACAACAAAAACACCAACAACAAACAAATAGTTACTCCCCAAATCAATCTTTAGCAACAACAAACAAAAAAATTAAAGGTCAAGGCAGAGACTCCCCAACTTCATTTTTACCAGTTATTAACAATAGTTCAAGTAGTAGTTTTGGTAATTATTTATTTGTTTATTTATGCATCTAATATTATGTTTATTAATTGATTTTAATTTTTATTTTACAAAATAGGAACCAATGAAAATTTAGAAGCTTTATTAAAACTAGGTAAACAAGCAAAGACTGAAGCTGTTGAAGAATCCAAAAAGAGAAAAAAAACCTACACTGAAACCGACTCCTATGATGACCATCAACCATCTTATGCCTTGAAATCAAACTATTATAACTAATAATCATCACTAGCATCCCACACATAACATCACCACAAATTTTTTTTTTTTCATTTTTAAAAAAAAAAAAAAAATTACTTTCACCTATCAAATAACAAACCCATCTTTTTTGTACATATACATCAGACTAAATAACCCAACCCTTCACTAAACCTTAATAAATCATTATTTAAAAAAAAAAAAAATAAAAAAAAAATAAAAAAAATAAAAATATTATTATTTAAAAAAACAAAAAATAAATAACTAATTAACTATAACGCTTTTATTTATTTTGAGTGTTTTTTTCCAATGTAAAATCATTTTTTGGAGCATTATAATTTCTATCTGGTGGACCAATTGGTTGATTTTCATTAAAAAACTTTTGTTGTTCTTCAGAATTAAAATACATTGGTTGTTGTTGATAGTGTTCTTGGGACATTTGCTGAGGAGCATATTGCTGTTGATCATAGTTTGGATATTGCTGTTGTTGTTGCTGAGGATATTGCTGTTGTTGTGGTTGTGGTTGAGGTTTGGGAGGTCCATCATATTTGTGTTTCTTTCCCCACCTTTTTTTATCTTTTTTGTTTGCTGATTCAAACTGCACATCTTCTTCTGGATTATTAAAGTTTGCATAGTGTTCTTCTGGAACATATGGCCATGTAGCACCACATGTTGGACAGTGTAAATACTCTTGTCCTTTATTAATTTTTACCAGAGGAACAAAAAATAAATGAAACCTAATAAAAATTAATTAATAAAAAATTTTTAGAAAATAAAAATAATCAATTATACATACCACTCATCATTTTTTAAGAGTTGAACACCACTATTTTTACAATTTATACACTAATTTTAAAAAAAAAATATTTAATTTAATTTTCTTTAATTTTATTTTTTATTATAAACATAACATACAATTCTTTTTTTATTATCGCAAACTTTTGACTTTAGTCTAGTTCCAAAGGGAATAATAATAGGAATCCACTAATGATAAAAAAAAAAAAAAACAATTAATATTTTTTAAATGAAAATCACCTGTATAAATTCTTTTGTTTTTTAGGTATATAAAATTTTATGATAGATACCATTATTTTGTTGTTTTATATTTTAATATATGAAATAAATAAATTAAAAAAAAAAAATTAATAAAAGAAATTTTTTATAAATCTTTAAAATAATTTTTTATTTTTTTAATTATTTTTATAAAAAAGGAAAAATTTAATTATTAAAAAATGAAAAAAATAATTTTTTAAAATAATAAAAAATTAAAATAATATTTAATTTTTAATTTCATTAAATATTGAATATTAAATAAACTATATATTTTTATAATGCATAAATTATATGTATATGAAAAAAAAAATTAAAAAATAAAAAAATTAAAAATTTCCAACAATACGTAATTGTTCAATCTAAAATTTATTTAATTAATTTATTTTATTTTTTAATTTTGAATTTGAAATGACATTAATAAATGTATTTTTTGTTTTGAATTTGTATGAAAATATATTTCCAGAAATACTGTCTTCATCATCAAATCCATATGAATCAAGTAAAATAAAAACGTCTCTTACTGGCAAAGAATTTTCTTTTAAATAATCTAAAAAATAATCTATAGACTCTGTATGTCCTGATACTGACACTGTTATAGAGTATAGGTCGATTTGGTCTGGATATTGGGACCGAATGGTGTTAAAAGATTTGATTGTATTATCGAAGCTTCCCCCTGAATTGATTTTAAAGTTTCTAATGGCTCTATTGTATGGTAAAACCTTTGTAATGATATTATCCATATTAACGTAATGAACCGAGAGGTCTCTAATTGATTTATTTTTCGCTAAACCTTGGAAAAAATATTCATCATATTGGTTATTTGATACTAAATTTAAAGCCTCTATAGATGAGTTTGCTGGATTTGATAGTAAAGATTGAAAACCCTTAACAATTGTTTCCACTTTGATATTATTAATATGACAAACACATTCACCTGAGCAGAAATGCTTTATTTCTAAATACTTTATAGTCCTGTCATTTGAAAATTCATTCATAATCGAGTACCACTTTCTTTCAGCCTCCTCTGGTGTTAGCCCTTCATCCATTATTTTACCAAAAATATCTTCTACACTATAATAAACATAAAGATTTTCTAACTTTGACCCGAATTTGTATGATGGTGAACCACTATAGATACTTTGAACTGAATCGTGCTTCATTTCTTTTGCAAAAAGCAAATCCAATATTGTTGATCGTTGGGCAACGGAACTATCAATAAAAAACTCTATTGCAATAATGAAAAAGGATCTCTGGTTTGCAGCTTGAAAACATCTAACTTCTTTTATATCAGTTTTTAATACTTTATACAATTCTGTTAAGTTTGTGGTAATTATATCTATATCTTGAATTTTTTCGAAATCTTCTGAATCTAGTTTTTGTGAAAGTGTTAAATAACTACTTGGTGAAACTGGTATTGTAAAACTAATGTTATTTGGAAAGCTCTTGATACTCTGAAGTAGTTTATTACTGTTATTATAATTCTCTGTGTTGATTATTATTTTTCTATAATCATTTAAATTAATATTATTGTTATTGCTTGCTGGTTGGCTTATGTGATTTAAATAATCATTATAATTAAAATATTTAATAGAGTCTGATAATTTTATTATTTTATATTGTTGGCCTTGATGTTGTTGAATCAAATGATTTAAATATTTATTATTTTGGTTAATAAAATTTGGTAATACTTTTGAAGTTATTTGAAACCATGTCTTGCTTACCAAACTATAACCAATAACTTCATTATTATAATAACATATTTTCGAATTGCCATCAAATGGTATGCTATCATTGGTGTATAAATAAGCAGAAATACTGGTTATAATAGATGAATAAATATAGTTTGGAAATAGAGTCATAATAATTTTTTATGCATATACTTTTTATTATTTTTTTTAAAAAAAATATTTTTAAAAATTTAATATTTTTTGTGTAAAAAAAAAGTGGGAAAAATTTAATATTATAAATAAAGTGGAGAACTTATTTTCCTATAAATTTATGTATTTTTTTAATTACATTATACAATATGATTGTTTTTTTTGTTGATTATTTATATTGTTAAAAGCTTTTCCTGCATATCAAAATTATTAAGATTGTATTGATTTTTTTTATATAAATAAAAATGTGGTAAAAAATATAGAAATATTTTTTTTTTATTTTTTATTGCACCCACATTATATTAAATTATTAGCATTAATATTTCAATAATATACTTAATATTAAAGATCCAAAATCAAAAATACCCTATTCAAATTCCAAGCAAGATGTTTACTCATCAACCTCATACACAATAAACCATGTGAACTATGTAATGAAAATCTTCAAAACGATCCAAATGGTTTTTTTACATCTCTTTTATAATTGTAAAAAAACTCTGAAATTTATCAACTTTATAAAACTAAAGTCATTTATATTCACTGCTTCGGGAAGAATCCTTAATTGGTCACTGGACATAACATGATCAAGAAGGAAATATATCAATAAAAAACATCACATATAAAATCCCAGCAGGTGGGGGCGAAATAAATATGGATTTCAAAAACACTAGATTTCATAAATCACACTTACAATGGGAGCTAGAAAGCAATAGACTTCAACTTAAATAGATGTTTTGCTTATACAGTGCCCGAGGAAAATATGTAGACCCCCCACCGATTTTAAATTTATATATTGAAAAAAGATATTTAGATTATAATATTTAAAATAAATATAATATAAGGCTAATAAATTAACTTCATTTTATATAGATTCATTACAGTGTAGAAATGCTATAGTTTTTGAATTTCATAAAATTTGAATTTGGTTATGTAAATAATGATACGCCAATTAAGAGAATACAACTCGATTACAAGAATCTAAATTCAAAATGGACTGAGCCATCCACACTAGAATAAAAAAATCATCAACATCAACAAAGAATATATAAAATTCAAAAGAAGAATAGCAAGAGCATACTTCATTAGCACCAAATGATTACCAAATATCAATAGTTTAGAATATTTTCTTTAAAAATATTATAATAAAATTTATTGATTAATTTAAAGCATTTGCTTTAAAAAATCTTCACTTTTAAAAAAAAAAAACAATTTGAATAGAACAAAGGTTAACACGACTTTTATTAATTAACTTTTAAGTTTTTTTTAGTTATTTAATTTTGATTATTTTAGTTTAATTGTTCTAATTGTTAAACCGTATGTGAGTGTTGTAAGACTATTTGGTAATGAGTCGGGTGCGTCTTGGCGAAAATGATGACCAAATGTGAGTGCTGTGAGACTATTTGGTAATGTGCCGGGTAGAACTACTTGTCTAAAACCATCACCGAATGTGAGTGTTGTGAGACTATTTGGTAATGAGCCGGATGTAACTACTTGGTTAAAACTATGACCGAACTTGAGTGTTGTGAGACTATTTGGCAATGAACCGGGTTTAATTACTCGGTTAAAACTATCACCGTATGTGAGTGTTGTGAGACTATCTGGTAATGAACCGGGTTTAAATACTTGGTTAAAATTTTTACCGAATGTGAGTGTTGTGAGACCATTTGGTAATGTGCCGGGATTAAATACTTGGTTAACCTTATTACCAAATGTGAGTGTTGTGATACTATTTGGCAATGAGCCGGGTTTAATTACTTGGTTAAAACCATCACCGAATGTGAGTGTTGTGAGACTATTTGGCCATGCGCAGGGTTTAACTACTTGGTTAAAACAATGACCGAACTTGAGTGTTGTGAGACTATTTGGTAATATGCCGGGTTTAATTATTTGGTTAAATTCATAACTGAGGGTTAGTATTGTGAGACTATTTGGTAATGTGCCGGGTTTAATTATTTGGTTGAAATAAAAACCGAATGTGAGTGTTGTGAGACTATTTGGTAATGAGTCGGGTAGAACTGTTTGGTTAAAATCATAACTGAATGTGAGTGTTCTGAGACTATTTGGTAATGAACCTGGTGTAACTACTTGGTTAAATTTATAACCAAATGCGAGTGTAGTGAGACTATTTGGCAATGTGCCAGGTAGAATTACTTGGTTAAAATCATAACCGAATGAGAGTGTTGTGAGATTATTTGGTAATGCACCGGGTAGAACTACTTGGTTAAAGTAATAACCGAATGTGAGTGTTGTGAGATTATTCGGTAATGTGCCGGGTAGAACTTCTTGGTTAAAATTATAACCTAATCTGAGTGATTTAAGACTATTTGGTAAAAACACTGGTAACATATTAAAAGAGGGCAAATATAAATCTGTCAAAAATGGTGGAAATTCATTTTTATCTGGCAGTAGATCACCATGCCACTCAACTGATGTTATATATGATTTATTTTTAAACTGTTTATAACGTGATATATCAAGCTTTATAAATTTATGTTGAATAAACTTTAAAATATGTTTATGAATTTCATTTCTTAATAATAAATTATTCCAAACTTTATATAATAATCTATTATAATAAACAGTTAAAAAGAGAAAACACCAATTAATCTATTGTATTGCATTGTACTTACCTATCACAAATATTACTACTGGTTTTTAACTCTTCATTTACTTGAAAGTTAATTAGAGATAATAGAAGCTCATCCATTGTTAATATAAAAAAAAAAATATATTAAAGAAAATTCTAAAAAAAAAATAAAATATTTTTTATAAAAATTTTTTTATTTCGTTTTAAAAAATTGAAATTTTTTTAAAATTTATTTATTATCAAACAACGCATTTACCTATTTCGCAAATGAACCAAATAATACGATAAATCAAAAATCAAACTAAATTTGAAGTTGGTGAAATTTTGGTATTTAGAAATATTATTTTCCAGAAAATAAATCAATCAGATGGTTGCAACGATCGAATATTTCTTCATGGTAGTTGAAGATTGATGATGGGTTAGATCGTTTTGAATGACGACACAACAATGCATTAAATGAATTTTCAGATACATCAAATACAACTAATTATAAAATGATAATAAGCAAGGGAAATGGAAAATACTTTAAAAGTATAGACTAATGTGGACCTATCGGTTGTGGATGTGTGCAAAAAACATAACCAAACTATGTTTTAATTGCATTAAACAACTGGATTAACCTCCATCCAAACACTAAACATCATAACCCATTACAAAATACTATACTCTGAAATAGTTGCTATCAACAACCAAAACCCAAGAACCCCACATCTCAACGATGATCACCAAACTCATCAATTAATATGCCTCTTCAATAAAATCTAACAGTTTTGAATAACTAATCATGTAACGAAAATCTTCATAACGATCCATATGGTCACCTGTTTTTCAAATGTAAAAAAACTCTGAAATTCATCAACTTTAAAAAACTAAAATAATTTATATTCACTACTTCGGGAAGAGGCCTCAATTGGTCACTCGATAAAACATGAACGTATCAATTAAAAAACATCACATATAAAATCCCAGAAGGTTGCAAATCCGATGGGGAAATAAATATGGATTACAACACCAGATTTCATTTTTTTTTTTTTTTTTAAAAAGTGAAGATAATTAAAAGAAAATGCTTTAAATTAATCAGTAAAATACCAGATTTCACAAATCACACCTCCAATGGAACTATAAAGCAATAGATTTCGGCCATACAGGATAAGTATTTTGGATACGAACACCGGGAAGATAGAAGTAGCTAAAAGGCCCCAGCGGGGATCGAACCCACGACCTCTTCCTTACTAGGGAAGCGCAATACCACTATGCTATGCGGCCTTTTTATGAATTGTCAATATTTTAGCTTATACTTGGCTTAAGCACCATATTTCATAATTAATCCCTTTGTTGATCTTGCACTAAATGAATTTCCAGACAGATATTTAACAAATTATAAAATGACTCTAAACATTTAAATTCCAAAAAAAAAAAATTACGAAACAGAAGGTTTAGGTTTATAGGATATAGAAACTAAAGCTCCGATAAAAGGATCGAATATTAAATTTAAAAACGTATTTGGAAATATACGAAAATATCCGTTTAAAACAACAAAATAAAAAAGTCTTAAAATCTATTCAAAATAATATTATAATAAAGCTTTTTAATGTTAAAATTTCCTGCCGCCTAATTATTTTTTTTATATTTAATTTTTTTTTTTTTTTTTTTTTTTTTTTTTTTCATTTTATTATTAATATCATCTAATTAAAATACATTCACATTACCCCACTCACATTACCCCACAATAAATTTAATATAAGTTTAATAATAGTAATTTAAATTATATAGAAAAAAAAAAAATTATAATGACAATAACACTTACATATTTACATTTAAATAATTTATAATAATTAAAAATATATTTTAAATTAATATTCACATATACCTCCATGTTTTATTTAAATATATAATAATGTGTATAATAGGTATGTTTTTATTTTATAATTTTATTTTATTTTATATTATCATTGTTGCATTTTTAAATATACAAATGTAAAATAATACCTCTCAAATTAATAATATTCACACACATATATTTTTAGTGATTAAAAATTATCGTTATTCTCAGTTTTCACCAACTATCGTTAGAGTGAAAAACAAAACCATATTGATAAAAATTAATACTAATCTCTTTTTTTTAAAAAAATTATCTCTTTTTTCATGAATAAACCGCAATCTTCTAGTTCAGTTCGGAGCTTTAATAGAAACAAAAGCAGAAGCACATAAAGCCCAACTCAAATAAGACACCATGTAATGAAGAAAGCTAATAGGTTAGAGAAATTTTCTAAGACATGGAACTCTGATATCTTTAGAGTGAAATTATCAATTCATGTAATAGAAATTTTGTAAGACATGGAGAGTGAAGTTATCAATATATTTAAAGAACCAAAAAAATTAAAAATCAATCTATTTGGTGCTTACTTTTATTCCATTAAAATTGAATTGTTAAGACATATTCTTAAAGAGCCCTTGGCCAACTAAACGGTACAAAGAAAAGATAAACCAAATTCTAAAAGAAGCTCATTAGGACCATATTGTTTTGAATGAACACTTATTCACCAAATTAGAACTAAATTTTCTACTTAATTTTAATTTTTAAAAATTAAAATTTTTCTCTATAAAATAATTCAACTCTTATTTTTTATGTTTTAGTATTAATTAATTCATTTATTTATAAATAATAATTAATAATTATCTTTTTAATAAAGATTAGTTATTTCTTTAAAATATATTATTTATTTATTTACTATATTTGATTTTTCTATTATTTGTTTCATTAATATAATAATTTAATAATTAAAAATAAATTATTTTTTTTTATTTTAATCATTAACCATTGATTTTTGTCTAATCCCTCAATTTGAAATGAGAAAAGGTTAACATGATTTATTTATTTTATTTTAATATTTTTTTGTTATTTAAATATATATTTTATTTAAAATTAGAATTTAAAAAAAATCATCAGTTATAATTACCGTTACAGAAGAGATTTTAAAATTAAAATTAAATTAAAATTACCTTTTTCCTAAGTGGCACCCAATTGTCCTTTTATAAATTTAATTTTTTTATACATCCACAATTTTTTCATCTATTACATAAAAATTTTCATAATTAAAATAATATAATTATTTTCATTTTAAATTTTTTATTGCCTATTATTCAACTCTAATAAATTTTATATAAACTCTATAATCAAACTTTAAAATCCTCATTAAAAACTATTCTTTTTTTAAATTTTATTTCTTTTTTATTTATTTAAAAATTTTTTGCAAAACAATTTTAAACTTAACAAAAAAACTGCCCCAAAATTATATAAATTATCTAAAATATAATTAATTATATTGGATCTTTAAAAGTAAACAATAAAAAATTTTGTGAGAAAACATAATTCTGTTAATTTATATATATTGACATAAAAAATAATTATATATATATATAATTATACGGTATAAAAATAATTATGAATACAATAAATATTTTATAAACAAATAAAAAGTTAATTTTATATTTAATAAATTTTAAACACATCTATATATTATATATATAATTTATATTTTAAAAATTTTATTTATTTAAGCAACTAAAATGCAAGCACCACCGACAGCTTTAATTTTCTTTTCAGCGATTTTAGAGAAATAACGGGCTTTGACAATGATTGGTTGCTTTGGTAAAATACCGTGACCTAAAACTTTGAAATAACCTTTTTGGGTGATATCAACAACTGGGGCAGTACCATCAGTAGCACATTGCTTTCTGACGGCTTGGTCAACGAAGGTCCAGATCTTTTCTAATGAGACGGTTGGGCAGAATGATTGATTTCTTAATAAGTGGAAATGTCTCATACCTAATTTACCGAAATAACCTGGATGGTATTTGTCAAAGTTAATACGATGATGGGTGAGACCACCAGCATTACCACGACCACCTCTGTATTATAATAAAAAATCGTATTAATTATTGGTTTCTTTAATATTTTTTTTGTTTGTTTTATATTGAATGAAACTTACGGGTGTTTTCTATGTTTACCGACACGACCGTAACCGGCACAAACGTCACCTCTTGTTTTTCCTATATAATTATTAAAAGTAATGTGTTAATCAACGTGTCCTATCTATTATCCAATATATCCAATATTTTTAAAAAAAGTTTGATTTATCTGAAACCTACTGTGTTTACGAAGTCTGGTTGGCTATAAGATAAAAGATAAAAGATTAGTTATTTGTTTATTGGGTTATTTGGTTTGGATATATCATATTTATCATTTATCTTTATGTTATCTTTCAATTATCTTTGGATAAATAAGATATCAGATAAATTAATATGAGATAGTAATAAAAATTATGTGTGTGTACACCAACATACCATCTTCTTAGGAGTGTAAATTACTGACTATGAAAAAGGCACAATTTTTCAAAATAAAACCAATAGCATTTTTTAAAAAAAAAAATTTTGAATTTTTTTAAATTTTTTTTTTAAAATTTTTTTATGCATAAAACCGAACGTAACACATTTCCATATTAACTTTTTTTTTTTTTTTTTTTTTTTTAGAATACAGAAATTAAAATATATTTATTTTATTTTTTTAAAAAAAGTAGAATTATAAATTTAATTATAGAAATAGAATTTAAAAAAAAAGAAAAAATAATTTATTATTTTTTTCTACAAATTTTTTTCCCCCCCCAAAAAAAAAAAAAAAAAAAAAAAATTAAAAAACAACACTAACTCATTTAAAGTTTTTTTTTTTTTTTTTTTTTTTTTTATGGGTTGAAAAAGATATATAAAAAAAAAATAAAAATATAAAAAAAAATAAATAAAATAAAATAAAGTTTTTATTGTTTTTATAAAAACAATAGTTTTTATACAAAAAAAAAAAAAAAAAAATATAAATTTATTAAATCTATTTTTTATCTAAATTTCCAAATAAAATTGATAAATCTATGGTATTGTTATTATTATTAATTTTTTTATCGTCATATTTTTTATAATATTTTTTGAATTTTTTTGATGGAACCCAATCATCGTGGGGTAAAGAGTTGGTTACACGTAAGGCCTCTAAAACTTGCTCTTTAGTTAATTCATTTTTTGGATCAATTGATCTTGAAAAACATAATTCTTGTATAACTGGTTTTAACCAATTTGTTAATGAATCTGCCATATCAAAGAAAATATTTGGATAGGGTACAGTTTGATTAAATGGTTCTGATCTATAATAAAATAGTTTAATATTAATAAATAATTTTTTTTATATTTTTTTATTATTTTTTTTTAATAAAACTTACAAAACTAAATTTTCTAAACCTTTTGAAGATAGTAGCAATGGTACAGAGGTTAAATTACACTGCTTGATATCTTTTCTAAATTGATTATTTTCATTTAATAAAAGTTGATCTGCAAGTAATTCTTCCTCTTCAATTTCTTGGTCATTAGCCACATAGTTATATTTGTTAATTTGTTGTGTTGTTTGATTATAAAGTTGTGGGTTGTTTTCAATGATATCATTACATTTAAATAGTAACTTTTCTTTAGTTGGCATTGTTGGATATTTGATGTATGGTGAAACAAATTCTGTTATATCTTTAAAATATTTATTTTTATAATTATCTAAAAATTTATTGAATGATTCATTTGACTCTATCATTCTGGTTATATAAATTCCAATAATTGTTGGTGAGACATTGGATAGTTTTGATGATTTTAAATGTTCTGATATCTTTTTCCATAGTATTTCGGGTTTTTTAAATACTAAACTTGAATAGTAAATAATAAAATAATAAATAATTTCCTTTTCTTTTTTACTAAATTTATAAATCCTATTATTACTATTATTATTATTGTTATTGTTATTGTTGGTACTATTGTTATTATTACTTATATTATTTTTAGTTAATTTATTTTCTAAATCTAAAGTTTCCCAATTAAGTGAACCTTCTATTTTTTTATTTATTATTTCATAAAAATTTTGAAATTGTAATGATGATAGTGATTTTGTAAATGGCTCGATTGAAATTATACTATTGTCGTTGTCGTTATTATTATTATTGTCGTTATTATTATTGTCGTTATTGTTATTGTTATTTTCATTATCAGTTTTATTGTTTTTGACATTGCTTAGTTCATTTTCTTCTTCATCGCTTTCAATATTGTACATACTTTTCATTTTCTTTTTGCCTTTATCCATTGAAACTGCCGCAGCTGCAGCCGCTTTTTTACTTAGTTCTCTTTCGATTAAAAAAGTTTGAAAACTATTTTTGATGGTTGGATCGACTGGATCTATTATAACACCTTTTCTAAGCTCTCTAAATCTTCTTTGTATAGACTTGTCGTTATTACTATTACTGTTTATAGTTGATACAAGTTTATTATTTTTTTGATTTTCATCTTCAGTATCTAGATTAGCATGGTTGCTACTATTATTATTTTCTTTATTGATACTATAGTTTGAACTATTAAATATTATATTTACATTATTATTATCATTATAGTTATTAGAATTGTTATGGTTGTTTGCATATATATATAAATCTTTACTATTGCTATTATAATCATTAGTACTACTATTATTGTCGCTATTAACTTTATGTTTTTTTAATGTTTCTGATGATGATTGGTATCTAGAGTAATCTCTTTTTAATAATCTTTTGTATAGCGATTCGTATATAATAGATTTGTTTTTTTCACTTTCGTTTTTATATATAACTGGGTCTTCTATTTTTGTTTGCTCTTGCTTTTCAAGCTCTTCCAACTCCTCTTCTTCTAAACATAATTGGTCATAGTCATCCGACTCCATATCGCTTTCGTTATCCTCGCTATCATTTTGATTTTCAATGTTAATCTCCTCGTCACTACTTTCATCGTTGCTATCTTCTTCATTGCTATATACACTTTCATCATAAAAACCTTCTGTATCACCTTCATCATTAGGATAATCATTCATATCGAATTCGATAATATTTTGTTTTGATTTAGGTTGACCATCGACTTCTCTATTATGGCCTATATTATATCCGATATTATAATTATTATTATTATAACTATATTCATCCTCTTCACTCTCTTGATATTCTTCTTCTTCTTCCCCTTGATCACTACTATCATCTTGAAGTTTATTATTTTGATTTCCTTTATAATCTATTATAAAATCTTCATTGTCTTGAAAATTATCATAGTTTCTGTTTTTATTGTTTATTTCTATATCGCTTTCTGCACTATAATAATCTTCCTCATTACTTGAAACTTCACTACCACTATTATCTAAACTATTAATTTGATCATTCTCCATTATATTTATTTATGTTTCTTAAATTAGAGGAGAAGAAGGAGATATTATTTTTTTTAAAAAAAAATTAAATAATTTAAATATTAATAAAAAATAAAATTTAAAAAAAAAACGAAAATTTTTTTTTTTTAAAAATAAACACACCCACCAGACAATGAAAAAAACCAGCTTTGCATTACAATTTTATGTACAAAAGAGAAACTATTACTTATAATTATAACTTTGGATAGATTTTAAGTAAACTCATTTATTTGGATAATTATATAAAAAAATTTGGTAAATTAATTAATTTTTTTTTTTTTTTTTTTGGAAAATTTTTCCAAATTTATTTATTTATTTATTTATTTATTTATTTAAATATTGATTAATTTATTTTTATTTAGTTTTTTAAAAAGAAGTAATCTTTTTTTAATTTGATATTGTCGAATCAAAATATCGAATATTAAAATAATTATTTTGAATATTTGAAAAAAAAAAAAAATTAAAAATAAAAAAAAAAAAAAAAAAAACTCAAAAAAAAGAAACAAAAAAGTCAAACAACTTTTTTTTTAAAAAAATTTTTTTTTATATTTTTTAATATTTTTTTTTTCTATTTTTTAATTTTTTTTTTTTTTTTTTGTGGATTATTTTTTTATTTATTTTTGATTGATTAATTACCATATTTATTATATAATTATTTATTAACATTAAAAATAATTAGAAATTAATAGCAGTTTAATAGATTATAAAAATCACAATTTTAATTTCACACAAAAAATCTAAAAATATCAAATAACATAGAAATTTTGTAAAAGATTTTTAGAGAGAAAAAAAAAAAAATGAGAGTATTAGGCTATTTATTAGTTATTTTATCATTCATTTCAGCTATCAACGCTCAAGGATCATTAGCTCAATGTTCTTATAAAAATACCAATTATTCATCACTTGCAAACACGTAAATCAAAACTCTTTAAAAAAATTTAAAAAAAAAATAAAAAAATAATTTTATTAACATTTCAATTTTTAATTTACCTAGTGCTTCATATTCAGCAACCGATTCAGCTGGCCAATATACCTATTATTGGAATAGTATGTTCATTTTTTTTTTTTTTTTTTTACAGAGGGATTATCATGACGCCATCAAATAATAATTCAGATAACTTACCACTTTTTTTTTTTTTTTTTAATTATAGTTTGTAGCAGAGCATCAAAATGTAATACACTTAATACTGGTAATACTGTTGCTTGTCAAGTTAAAGGTACCAGTAATCCAACCCCTATTGGTATGATTGGTCAAGGTCAATTCAGTGATAGTACTCAAGCAGGTTATGCTACCCTTTTAAATTACAAATCCAGTAACAACCCATGCAGTGGTGGTATTATCAGACAAATGGATATCTACATTAATTGTCTTAAAGCAGGTGGCACACAAAAGATTTCTCAAGTTACTGAAGAATCAAAATGTAAATATGGTGTATCCATGGATGTTGTTTGTGGTGGCGATAATAGTGGTAGTGGTGATAACAGTGGTAGTCACGGTGGTAGTGGTGAAAAGAAAAAAGGTGGAATTGGTGGTGGTTGGATTTTCATCATCATGTATGTTTTACTTATTATTAATTTGAATTTTATTGATGAATGTATTTATTAAATGTTAATTTTTTTTTTTTTTTCAAAATATTACAGCTTAGTTTCAGTTGCTACTCTTTACATTATTGGTGGTGTTATCTTCAATGCCAAGGTTAAAGGTCTTCGTGGTTCCGAAATGTTCCCAAATAAAGAATTATGGGGTAATTTTGGTGATTTAATTAAAGACGGTGTCTTCTTTATCAAAGGTAAAGTCACTGGTTCACCATCTGGATATCAACAAGTCTAATCAAGAAACCATTAGAGAAAAAAAAAAGAAAAAAATCTAAAAAAAATTTAATAAAAATAGTAATAATATAAAAAAACAAATTACACAAAACACTTTTTTTTTTTTTCTCTATCAAATATTTCTTAAATTGTAAAAAATAGTATAATTGATATTTAAATTGGGTTTCATTTGGAAATAATGTTATTAAAAAAGTAATAACAAATTTTACTATCTCAAAAAAAGATTTGGATAAAAAAAAAAAAAGTGAAAAACTAATAATTTTCTCATAAAGAAACAGAATTGTTTTATTTTTTTTTAATTTTTTTTTATTTTTTCGTTTTTTTATTTTTTTTTTTTTTTTTTCAAATTAAAAATTTAAAAATCAAATATAAAGTATATTAATTTTATATTTTAAACAAAATATAATATATAATAACATATAGCAATAACAATAATAATATAAATAATAATAGAATAATAATATAGTTATATATTTTATTTGTTTGGTTATTATTTGTTTATTTTTTTTTATAATTTTTATTTTTTTTTATGTAATAGATAGTTTAGAAAAAAAAAAGGTTATAAATCAAACAAGAAAGAGAAATTAAAGATGCCAGCAATTTCACCAACTTTATTAGCTAGTTTACAAGAGTATACTAAAAATATTAGAAACATTTGCATATTGGCACATGTTGATCATGGTAAAACTACTTTATCAGATTGTTTAATATCTAGCAATGGTATTATTTCACCACAGATGGCAGGTAACCTAAGATACTTGGATTTTCTTGCAAGTGAGCAGGAAAGAGAAATTACAATGAAAGCAAGTGCTATCTCATTATTATTCCAAAAGAAATGCGAAGAAGACGAAACAAAACAAGATTCTTACTTAATTAATTTAATTGATTCACCAGGACATGTCGATTTTTCAAGTGAAGTTTCAACAGCAGTTAGAATTACAGATGGTTCATTGGTTTTAGTAGATGTGGTTGAGGGCGTTTGCATTCAAACTCATGCAGTATTAAAACAAGCATATCAAGAAAAAGTTAAGCCATGCTTAGTATTAAACAAAATCGATCGTTTAATTTTAGAGTTACATATGACTCCATTAGAAGCCTATCAACATTTATGTAAAATTATTGAACAAGTTAATGTTATCACTGGTACTTTAACATCCGAGGAAATTATTTTAAAAGAGTCTTCAGAAGATTATATCAGTGAAGAGGTAACTACTGAAGAAGATACCGCCGAACATGGTAATGAATATTATTTTTCACCACACAAGGGTAATGTTGCTTTTACAACTGCTTTTGATGGATGGGGTTTTACAACCAAACAATTTGTAAATTTTTGTCATAAAAGTAAGATAAAAAATTTTAATAATCTCGAAATATTTTTTGTTAATATTAACCTCCAATTTTTTTTCTAATTTAGAAACTGGTATTAAAAAAGTTATATTAGAAAAATGTTTATGGGGTGAATATTATTACCATCCAAAAGAAAAAAAAATTTATAAATCACAAAAAGGTAATTTAATGCCAATGTTTGTTACATTTATTTTAAATGTAATATGGGAGGTTGTTAAGACTATTGCAGGCACACCAGAATGGATTGATACAGATAAATTGGATAAAATAATAGAGGTTTTAAATATATCAGTTAGCCGAAGAGATTTAGAAAGTAAAGATCAAAAGATTGTATTAAAGGCCGTATTACAAGCATGGTTACCATTATCAGATGCAGTTTTAGATATGGTTTGTTGTAAATTACCTGATCCAATCGAGGGTCAATCAAGAAGAATGGAGAAGATCTTTAAACCATTAAAATCTAGCCAAGTTACACAGGAAATGGAAGAAAAGCAAAAGCAACTCTTAAAAGATACTATTGATTGTAATAAATCAGATGACAGTGAAATTGTTGCATATGTTGCAAAAGTTTTCCCTCACAATAAAAGAGGTGTTAGTACTTCAACTGTCCACAGACCAGTCCCACCAAGAAGAGTTCAACCTTCTGCTGTACCATCAAACAGACAAGTTCAACAAAATCCAAATACTAATAACACCACTCCTAATAATACCACCAATGAAAATAAGGACGACCCACAATCATCATCACCCACTCAAACAGAAACCACCACAACAGAGTTAGAAAGTGAAATTAAAAATTTAGAAATCTCAAAATCAAAACCATTACACCAAATCCCAATTGTAACCAGCAAACCAAGCAATACTGAAGAAGAGTTTATTGCAGTTGTTAGAGTATTCAGTGGTACATTAAAGAAAGGTAAATTTGTTTATGTAATGGGACCACGTTATGACCCATTAAATCCAACTCATGATGTTTATCAAGTTGAAATTACTCAATTATATTTATTAATGGGCAGCTGTATAGAACCAATTGAACAAGTCCCAGCAGGTAGTATTTGTGGTATTGGTGGTGGTATTGGTAATTTGGTTTTAAAGAGTGCCACCATTTCAAGTAGTTTAATGTGCCCACCAATCTCCAGCATGATGTTTGTCTCATCACCAATTGTCAAAGTTGCTATTGAACCAGAGAATATTATGGACCTACCAAAGCTTCTTCATGGTTTAAAACTTTTAAATCAAGCCGATCCATTAGTAGAGGTATATGTACAAGAAACTGGTGAACATGTTATCGTAGCATCGGGTGAGTTGCATCTAGAACGTTGTATTTCTGATCTTAAAGAATCTTTTGCTAAAATTAATGTACAAGTTTCATCACCCATCGTTCCATTCAGAGAGACTATTGTGCAGCCAAGTAGTGACCCAAATATAAAATCATTTTCACCACCAAAAATCCATAAAGAGACTATTGTTGCTAAAACTGCAAATAAAAAAGTTTCAATTAAAATTAAAGCAATTCCATTACCAAAAAATGTTACAAATCTTATCGAACAACGTTCTGCAACTCTTCGTGATATTTTCTTGGGTGGTAAGAGTGCAAATAAGGAGTTATCGGATTCAAAAACTGCTAAAAAAGAAGCTGAAGATGCAGAAAGAGAAGAGTTCCAAAAAGTATTATTTGAAGAACTAGAAAAAGCAGGAGAAGAATGGAAAAATGAAATCGAAAATATTTGGTCATTCGGTCCAAGACATATCGGTCCAAACTTACTTTTAAATCATATTCCAGGTTATAGTAAATCAAGTTATTGGATTCATGCATTAAAAAGAGGTATTCAAAAGAAATTAAAAAAACAACAAGATGATGATGATGAAAGCAAAGAGGATAAGGAAATAGAAGAAGATGCAGATACAGATAAAGAGGATGATAATAATGACGAAGATGATAATAGTGAAGATACTCAAGATGAAGAATCAGTTACCTCTGAAAATAAATTATTAGAAGGCGAAGAAAAGTTCAAAAGGATTTTCGAACTTGATAATAGTATTGTATCAGGTTTCCAACTTGCTACCATTGCAGGTCCATTATGTGATGAGCCAATGATGGGTGTTTGTATGATTGTAGAAGATATTGAAGTTCAAGATATCGAGCAAAATTCAGATTCATATGGTCCATTATCTGGTCAAATGATTTCAGCAGTTAAGGAGGGATGTAGAATGGCATTCCAAACTAAACCACAACGTTTAATGGAGGCTCTTTACCTTTGTGAAATTCAAGTAACTTCCCTTGCTTTGGGTAAAATGTATTCAGTATTAGGTTCAAGAAGAGCTCAAATTCAAAAAGAAGGTGTTAAAGAAGGTACTCAAATATTTTGTATTCAAGCTCGTTTACCTGTAGTCGAAAGTTTTGGTTTTAGCGAACAAATTATGATTAAAACTTCAGGTGCTGCAAGTACTCAATTATTCTTTGACAATTACTGGGAAACCATTGAGCAAGATCCATACTACGAACCAACTACCGAAGAAGAGTTAGAAGACAATGGTGTAAATGTTGCAAGTTTAGGTAATAATATAGCTCGTCAATATATGAATATGATCCGTAAGAGAAAAGGTCTTTTTGTTGAAGAAAAATTAGTTGAATTTGGTGATAAACAAAGAACACTAAAGAAGAACAAATAAACAAAATAAATAAATAAATAAAAAAAATTATAACAAACAAAAATACCATGTTTTTTTATTTTTTAAACAAAATATAAAAGATATTTATTTATTTTTATAAAACTTTTTTTTTTTTTTTTTTTTTTTTTTAATTTCATATTTTAATTAAAAAATAGAAAAACTAATAAAATAAAAAAAAGAATATTTATTAATTTGGATTTTATTTACAAATTGTTGAAGTTGATTTAAAATTGTTTTTTTTGATTAAAAAAATTTTAATTACCCATTTTGAAGATGATTTCAATTTCATCAGAAAATATATCACAGTTTGAGAGTGTGAAGTCGTTTGGGTTGGTGGAAAAAGTGTTGATTTTCTTATTTAATAGGCCAAGAAATTGGAAGGTTTCTGTAACGATTTTACTGCAAAAAGTAATATTTTCCTTATTTTCGATATGTACAAGTGGAATTAAAAATCTGAAATATTTTTCGGTGGTGTAGGTCCAAAATAGTTCAAAGTTAGTAGGAAAACGAGTTTCCTTTTTTTTAATGCTTCTACAGATAGATTCTCCCAATTTTAATGATTGTTCTTGAGTGAGTGGGGCTTTAAGATCTCTAAATACATATCTACAACTAGGATAACGTGACATGTAAACTGATAGGAATTTAGTTAGAAAATGAATATCTGGACCAGTATTTTTTGAGTCTATTTTTTCACCTGCAGCTTGGAACATTAGTGGTTCTTGGTTTCCATCGTTGAAAAAATTTGGTTGCAAAAGCATGGCACAGTGGGAAAATCTACCATTTAAACCAACTCTGAATAGCATGCTTGTAGCGTCGGTATTGTTTTGAATTAAAAATACAGAACCACTATTTATGGATTTTAAAATTTCCTTAAGTTGAGGATTAATTACTCTTTCAAGCTCTTCTACATTCTTTAATGTTTCTTCCCCATTAGGAATGTCGATATAAACCTTTTTACACTTTCCCCAACATTTCTTATCCTTGATATTGGTTAGGATAATTATCAAATTTCTAAATAAAAGATTTAACATTAGTATATATAGAATGACCGCCACATTATAAATCTATACTTACTTAGTTAAATTTGAAAAACTCTTTTGTTGGTAGAAATAGATATAAAAAAATATAATAATAGATAAATTTAAAAATAAATAAACATTCTCCATATGTTTTTTTTTTTTTTTGAATAAATATACAAATAAATAATTTTGAGATAATAAAAAATGGAATTTAAATTTTGAATTTTTTTTTTTTTTTTGATGGTGAATATATTTTTAAATAAATTTTAAACTTTATATATAAAAAAAAAAGTTTTATTAATTTATAGTTTAATTTTAAAGGTTATAATTATTATAATTATAAAAAAAAAAAAAAAATTGAACCCTATTTAAAGAACAAAAGAATGGTTATTTTAAATTAATTTGTAGTTTTTGGTAAATAGTGAAATTAAATAAACAATAATAAAAAATAGTAATAATAATAAAAAAAGAATAAATTAATTTACTAATTATTTATTTATAATATTTTTTTAAATATAACCCAATATACAAATAATACAATCAAAAAATAATGTAGTTGTAATTGAATAAAATAAAATAAAAAAAAAAAAAAGACAATTTATTTAAAAAAAAAAAAAAAAAAAAAAAAAAAAAAATAATAATAACCACGGGAGTTCTATATAATATTTACATAGTTAAAAAATTCGAGCCTTATATGTTTTATAATTTATTTTATAAAAATTATTTTTGTACAACAAAAACAGATCTAACACCAAATTCTTTTTTTTTTATGATAAAAAAGTAAATTTTAAAATTTTAATATTTTTAGTATATAGATAAATCATATATATTAAATGCAATATTAACAAAAAATATAAAAATAAATAAAAATGAAAAAAAATGTTTTAATATAAATGTAAATTATAAATTCACCCTTTATATAAAAATAGAGCTAACTCTATTAATGGGGAGAGGTCAGTGTGTTTCTAAGTCGCCCCTTTTATATTAATTTACCTTTAGATTGGAGATGGGTTTAGTGTGATAGAGAATTAATTTGTGGAAAAAAAAAAAAAAAAAAAAAAAAAGATGATAAAAACAAACAACACATTTAAAAAATACCAATACTACCATCATCAAATAGGTTTATTAATTTAAAAGTGTTAATAAAAATTTACCACTTAATAATAACAAAAACAGCAAAATTATTTTTGAATATTAATATAAACAAAAATTGAAAAAACTTTTATATTAATGATAAAAAAAAAACAACAATAAAATATATATACTAATTGCCATAATTGTACACCCCATTTTTCTACAGAGGTAATATTAAGAACTATGGCGCTATGGAATGAGTTAGTTTCCTTTTCATTTTAAATCGACAATATTAATAATAACAAAAAAAAAACAAAACAATAATAATAAAAATAATAACTACACAACAGCAATATGCAAACAAAAATAACAGTAATAAACACAAACAAAAAAAACACAGTAACAAAAGAACATTATTAATATTTAATTTGGAAAAAAAAAATAAAAAAAAAGTAATTTTGTGTGAGTGTGTGTATTTTTTTGAATTTGCTTTTTGTGATAAATTGACAAAAAAAAAATTATCATTATTTTGATACTGGCACACAAAAAAAAACAACACACAAATTATTCCAAATAAAATTATAAAAAAAACAACAATAGCTCGTTCACCCAACTAAGTTTTTTTTTTTTTTTATGTTTTGCTTCAAATAGAAGCAAAAAGTAAATTAAATAGTAATAACAGTGTATGAAAATTTTGAGTCTATACAGTTTATTTATAGAAATCTCAATTGTATCACACAAACACACAAACAAACACACAAAATAATTTTTTTTTTTTCCCCACGCTACCACACTCTACCAATGCATAAAAAAAATAGCTTACATCATAGAGATATATTATTTTTTTAAAAAAATAAGATTAAATTTTATTCTATTTTTATTTTACTATAATTATAATTTATTATTTATTAGTAAGTTAACCAAACTTATTATTATTATGATTTATTATTATTGTGAAAAAAATGGGGGTTGATAATAAATTATTTAAAAATAATATTTAGATACTAATGACAGGGGTATTTTTGTTAAACAAAATAAGTTTTTGGTAATGGTGGTGTTTATTTTTGAAATTTGTGTAAAGATAGATATGTGTGAGTGGGTAGTGTGTGTGGTATTAATATGTGTGGCTTGGTGATGTATTAAAATAATAAAAACAAAAAATGAAATAAACAATTCCATAGTATGGCATGAATGAAATTTAAAATTAAAAAATAAAAATAAAAACATTGGGTGAGTTCTATTCAATGTGTGGTTGTTGTGCTATAGTGTTGCCATTTGTTTTTATATTAAATTTTATTTTAAGATTGACACTATTAAATTATGGTAATTGAGATATAAAAAAGAAAAAAAACCAAAAAAAAAAA